TTGCCCATAACACATGCTCATTTCAAAGAAACTCTCTTGTATGGAAAGGAGTCCCTGACCTTTGAAGAAGTTCAATCAGCCTTGTATTCTAAGGACTTGAACAAACGAAAGGAGCATAAACCTTTTATGGTTGGTGAAGGTTTGACCGTTTAAGTAAAATTCTTGTGAAAGGATGGTAAGTTTAATAAGAAGAAAGGTAAAAGTCAGCTGAAGTCTTACAGTGGCGAAGCATATGTTATTCGATGCTATCATTGTAATAAGGAGGGTCACGCATGAAATATGTACCTTGAACGCCTGAAAGATCATGGAGGTAAGGATAATGGCAACACAACTATTGTTCAAGATGATTTTGACTTATCTGATGTTCTTGCGGTTTTGAGCAGCAACCCGTTAAAGGAGTGGATTATGGACTCTGGGTGCACTTGGCACATGACTCCAAACAAAGACTTATTCAAAGAGCTGTGTGATCAAGATGATGGATCTATATTTCTCAAAAACAACAAAGCTTGTAAGATTGCAGGTGTTGGATCTGTGAGATTCAAGCTCCATGATGAGTAAATAAAGTTGTTGATTGAAGTCAGGTATGTATCTGATTTGAAGAGAAATTTGATTTCTCTTGGTGGATTATACAAGAAAGGATATGTTTTCCAAGGAGAGAAAAGTATCCTAAGAGTCATGAAGGGGTCGAAGGAAGTCTTGAGAGGCGTGAAGAAGTAAGGCTTGTATACCCTTGAGGTTGAAGTTGTAAGTGGTTCGACAAATATTGCATCCACGAAACCTTTGTCGAAGACAAATATTTGGCACATCAGATTGAGCCATGTCAGTGAAAGGGGTCTGGTTGAATTAGGGAAACAAAATTTGCTTGGTGGTGACAAAGTCGAAAAGCTGAAATTTTGTGAACCCTGTATACTTGGAAAATATTGTAGAGTGAATTTCAATAGAGAAAAACAAAGAACACATGGATCCCTTGATTACATCCATGCTAATCTTTGGGGGCCTGCAAGGTGTCCATCAAATTCAGGAGCAAGGTCTTTTCTATCTATAGTAGATGTTTATTCTAGAAAGTTATGGGTATTCATTTAGAACACTGCTGATGAAACTTTTGAGAATTTCAATAGTTGGAAGACTCTGGTTGAAAATCAAACTGGCAGAAAGGTCAAGAGGTTGAGAACCGACAATGGCCTTGAATATTTCAATGAGGCTTTCAACAACTTTTATGCTGCCCCTGGTATTGCAAGGCACAGAACTACGACATGTACTCCATAACAAAATGGTTTGGCTAAAAGGTTTAATCAAACTACTTTGGAGAGAGTTAGATACATGTTGACTAGTGTTGGGTTAAAGAAGGTGTTTTGGACTGAGGTTGTTTTGACAACTACATATCTGATAAATAGATGTCCTTCGACTGTGTTAGATATGAAGACACCTGAAGAAGTTTGGTCGGGATATCCACCAGATCTTGACAAACTGATAGTATTTGGCTGTGTAGCCTATGCTCACATTAGGCAAGACAAGGTCGAACCTAGAGCTCTAAAATGAATGTTTATGGGATACTTTGAAGGAGTTAAAGCTTATAGGTTATAATGCCTAGATCCAGGTCACAAGAGGTGTATCACCAGTCGAGATGTAGTTTTCAATGAAGTTGAAATGACTTTCAAGAAAAATTATGATGTTGATCGAAATGCAGAAATATCTAACGAAGAGCTAGAACAGGGAGAGATTCCTGTTGAGGTGAAGCATGCTGATGCTGAATTGCGTATCCCAGATGAAGTCTAAGAAGAAGCAGAAGATGTTAAGAAAGTTGAGGAAACTGTCGATGACTACCTATTGGTAAGAGATGGGAGAGAAGAGTCATCAAGCCACCTCAGAGACTCGGGTATGCAAATCTTATAGCTTATACCTTAATCTCTACAAGTGAGGTTCTATACAAAGAACCTAGAGACCATAAGGAAGTTATGAGAAGTCGAAATAAGACTGAATGTATGAAGGTCGTGGATGATGAGATGAAATCTCCTCATGATAACAACACTTGGGAACTGATTAAGAAACCTGCTGGAGCCAGGTTAGTCAGTTGTAAATAGATTTTCAAAGTTAAGGAAGGAATCGAATGAGTGACGTCGAAAATATACAAGGCAAGGTTGGTTGCAAGGGGTTTCACTTAGAAAAAAGGTGTCGACTCCAATGATGTGTTTTATCCTGTTGTGAAGCATATGTCCATTCGAACATTGCTTGCTATGGTGGCACAGTTCGACCTTGAACTGAAACAAATGGATGTGAAGACTGCGTTCTTGTATGGTAATCTAGATGAGACAATCTTGATGAGACAACTTGAAGGGTATGTCGAAAAGGGAAAGGAAGATTATGTGTGAAATTTGAATAGATCTTTATATGGCCTGAAACAATCTCCTCGACAATGGCATAAGAGATTCGACAAGTTTATGGCACGCATAAGTTTCACTAGAAGTCAGTTCGACCACTGTGTTTACTTCAGATTTCGACCTAGTAATTCATTTACTATTTAGTTGCTTTATATTGATGATATTCTCATAGCAAGCAACAATATCGAAGATGTAATAAGGGTAAAGGTTGAACTCAATAAGGATTTCAACATGAAGGATCTGGGAGCTGAATTCAGGATTCTTGGGATTGACATTCGAAGAGATAGAAAGTAGTTGAAATTATTCTTATATCAAGAGGCATACCTACGAAAGATTCTTGACAAGTTTGGTATGTCGAATTCAAAATATGTTGTGACTCTAACAAACCCTCAATTCAAGTGTGGTATAGATTAGTGTCCCAGTATTGAGATCGAAAGAGCTTATATGAATAGTATTTCATATACTAATATAATAGGTTCTTTGATGTATGTTATAGTTTGTACTAGACCCGACACATCATATGCAGTAAGTCTTGTAAGCAGGTACATGGTGAATCCTGGAAAGGCTCACTGGAAAGCATTGAAGTGGATTCTAAGATACATAAATGGGCCTCTGAACAAAGTCTTAATTTATGGTGGATCCTTGGGTGAAGATAATAAAGCAGTGATCAAAGGATATGTCGACTCTGATTATGCAGGTTGTATGGATTCCAGAAATTCTATTTCTGGATATATTTTCACTTTGTTTGGTACAACAATTAGTTGGAAAGCAACACTTCAGAAGGTTGTCGCATTATCAACCACTGAAGTGGAATATATTGCTTTAACTGAAGTTGTAAAAGAGCATTATGGCTTGAAGGTTTTGCTAAGGAGCTGAAAGTTCAAGGAAAAATTATGACTGTTAAATGTGATAGTCAAAGTGCAATACACCTGTCGAAGAATTCAGCCTATCATGAGCAAATCAAGCACATTGATGTGAGTCTGTGTTTCGTCAAAGGGGTAATCGAGCGTGGAGAAGTCTAAGTGCTGAAGGTTTCGACATATCACAATGTTGCTGATATGATCATCAAGACATTGCCTAGTTGTGAGTTTTTCCAATGTATACAATTCATAAAGCTGCATGAAGAAAGCTAGTTTGTTTCTTGATATTAGAGTTTGTTCCAAGATGGAGATTTGTGAGATATTGGATCGAACTCTATTGGATTGAAGAGTAGCTTCTGGTTCGACGAGATTTATGCATGCCACGAAGTATGTTCACATGCTGGTGTCGAAGACCTACATACTGTAGTCAAAGTGTGTTCTAGTATGTGGGTTGTTAATATTTCAAATTGGGCTTGTTTGTTATGTCAAATTGTTTAAGTTAAATTGCACCCTAAGTTAGCTTGTAATGCGTATTTGTGGAAAAAAAACATTAGTTTAGTATGTTAGATTTACTATAAATAGCATACTAGTCTCTCATCATTGCATACTGCAAATCCGAATTTAGGGTGAAAGAATTATTTGTTATTTCTGAGCGCTTGTAATCTGATTATGTTGCAAAAACATATAAATTTTTATGTGTTATTATGCCTAACAAGTATCTCTATTTATAGAAAAACTTGTAACAATTAATAAGGAGAAATAATATCTTAATAATTTCAAAATGACTATGAGAAATAATTTTAGAATTCTCCACCTAAAACCTTAAAGTGATAGGTGAGTGGGTTCTCCCACTTATATATACTTAAGTCTCCACATTCCTATCCAATGTGGGACTATTTCTCCACTTACTCACATTTGCTATATTATTCCAACAAAATATTGGTTGGGTTTATAGGTTACTACACAGTTTTCTATGAGATCTTGTCAGAAATACATGGATAATTGTTGGTTTAAAAACGTTTGTTACTTACTGTGAGAGCGTTCTTTGCCTGCTACTTAGCATATGCTTGGTTTGGAGGCAGAAAAGGTAAAAGCACGGTGGAAAAATCACGGTAGCATAGAAGTGTACACTTTGTAGCTTGGTTTCCACCGTATATTGCTCTTCAAACGTGCGGTGGCGATGGAAAACAGTGAATCCAAACACACACACAAACTTACTTTTAATGCCAAATTTAAAAATATGAGGTATAATGTGGGATTTGGTGGTGAGAACATTTTTAGAATTTTTAATCAGTTATATGAATAATTGAATAATGTTGTTGGACTGTTTAAATGATCTGAATATAAAATATAATGTAAAAAATTCCGTGGTACTCATTAAAGAATCAAAATGAATTTAATGAATGTGGGTGCTCTAAAGTAAATAAAACACTAGAAGAGTATTGTCTGTTAGGCAAGCATAGCAAATTTTTTTTCTTTTGCTGCTTCCTGCACTAACTTCCTTACGCTAAGAGCTCTAGAATTCAACCTGCAATTGTTTGATTTTTACTTTGAGAGAAGTGAAGTTTATTTTTAGTTCTTATTGTTTGTTTGGACTGTTTATCAATTTTCCTTCACCATAGAATTAAATCACTTAAACTACCATACAACAATAACAAAACTCAATAATCCAAACATGATTATTTATTACATTTATTTCCTCATAACTAGAAAGTGACCACAGTCGCCCCAGTAGGGATTATTGCATCATTCTTATAGAATTTTACTCTTCCATTTTGATGATACATCTAATAGACTCCCCTTTGAGCATGTAATCAAAAGCTTTGTTAATCTCCGAAAATGGTATTGTATGAGTAATGAATTTCTCCAGTTCCAGCTCCTGCAATTAGTATCACATAACATAACATTAGCAACATAAATAACATATCAAAATGTAATGTTATTTTCTCCTAAAAGCATTGCAGAATTCAATATATAGAAGCTTACTCCTTTCATGTACTTCTCTACAACATTAGGAAGATCAGTGCGAGGTTTGTAGTTTCCGTAGAAGGTTCCCTTAAGAGTCCTCTCAGTCAAGAAATTCAAAGGATGAGTTTTGAAGGCATCATCTTTGTTTGGAACTCCAACAAGTACAGCAACACCCCAACCCTAATAAGAATAACAAATATTCAAGGTTCAGCTTTAGCCTTAGTAGGATTTATACTTTCTTTAGCAACCAGTAAGAGTAAATGAATTATATTTTGCATACATCATGGACACATTCGAATGCTGAGATCATGGCCTGGATGCTCCCGGTACATTCAACAGCACGATCCACACCCCCATTGGTCATTTCAGCAATTACCTGCAAACCAATTTTCACATCTCAACTTATTTATACGAAAAAGAAAAAAGATTTTAACCCATAGAAAACATAAATATATTTACTAAATTGTCAATGAACTAACTTCTTGCACAGGTTTGTCGTGATCTTTTGGGTTTATGAAATCAGTAACCCCAAACTTCTTAGCTGCCAACAAGAAAAGAATAAGAAATGCCATCAAAAAAAGAACATTCGTTGAATTTATGTTGATCCAAATCTTGAAGGATTTCAGACAAGTTAAAAAACAATGTACCCAATTCAAATCGGCTGGAAACTAAATCTACTCCAATGATTCTTGATGCACCAGAAACCCTTGCCCCTTCAGCAGCCTAAATTACGGTTTAAAGAGAAGAGCAGATGTTATTTTTGACTCATTTCATTTCCGACCATCACAACATCACACACTTAAAGTATAAGAGTAACAACATACAGCAAGGCCAACAGCTCCAAGTCCAAAGATCGCAACTACAGAGCCAGGTTTTGGTTTTGCAACATTCACAGTAGCACCAAAGCCTACAAGAATACATGCAAATTAAACTGAGAAAACATAGACTATGCCGAGTTATATACTAATATCTCAAGCTAGAGATCTTGTCTGTATATACCAGTGCATATTCCACAGCTGAGTATGCAAACTTTGTCAAGTGGTGCTTCAGGATTGATCTTTGCAACACATCCAGCATGAACCACTGTGTACTCACTGAATGTAGAAGTACCAAGGAAATGGTGTATGGGCTGTCCCTTGATAGAGAATCTAGATTTGTTGTCATTGATCATGACACCTCTGTCAGTGTTGATCCTAAGAAGATCACACAGGTTGCTCTCCTCTGAATTACAATGTGGACAATCACCACACTCCCCTGTGAATACTGGCAGGGCTTGATCTCCTGGTTTCAGATGAGTCACACCCTCACCTACACTCTCCACAATCCTGATCAACATCATCCCAACAATTATCAATAACATGCATTCAGATTACATTTACATACCAGTACATTAGATAATCAAAGGATTCAATCAATAATACATAAGATAAAGATCTATGAATATTGAGAAGATTCACATACCCTCCAGCTTCATGACCAAAAATACGAGGAAACAGTGGAGTCTGACCCTGAAACAGGGGAAAAGTTTACAGATCTAATTAAAATGATCTAAAAGTTCAGGATTCGATTGAAAAAAGATAGTTCATGGATCTACCTTAGCTTCCCAGAAGTAAACATCAGTGTGACAAAGGGAGGTGAAGAGTATCTTGAGACGAACTTCACCGGCCTGCGGTGGCGCCACCTCTACTTCTTCAATCACCAGTGGCTTCCCAGCTTCCCATGCAACCGCAGCTGCAAGTATAATACAAATTTTCAAAACAAAATCAATAAACCGATGATCAAAATATTGTTGGAAACAAAATAAAAATGAATAGAACATAGTTTGAAACCTCTGCACTTGATGACTTGACCAGCAGTGGTAGACATGATTAACAGATGATCTAGGGACAAGAGTGGAATGTATGAGTGAGTTGTTTGTTTTGTAATCTTATCTGTGAGGTACCAATGACTTGTGAGTGTCTCTATTTATAGTAGTGGGGAAGGAAACAGAGGTGAACACGATAAGACTTTTCTAAGTAACATAGTACTGCCACTATTGTACTTTGATAAATCAATGAAATAATACTATATCGTTTTGATTTGGTGGGTCATAGGCGTCGCTGTTGTTTTAATTTTTCTATTTATTTTTTACCAAAGCTATTAAATAATTCGAAAATTTGTTATTTGTATACATCATTTATCGTATATTATTGTTTATATTCAATTGATGATGGGGGTTTGGATAAGGGCTTGAAGTGTTAAATGAATGAGCCATTATATTTTCTCATCTCATCATAGGACAGTGAATTTCACCGAAAATAGAAGGTTGTTTGTTTCCAGTTCTTTTCCAAATTAAATTTCCCATATAATTGAATATAACATGTAATACACTTTATTAACCTTTATAATATTTTTATTTTATCCTATCTCTACTTTTTATTACAAATCATTTTGTCACTTTTGAAAGATATGAGATGGTTGTGTGGTTCAGAGGTGTGATGTTTGGTTGTATATTGGTTGGGTGTTATGACAGTAAGGAAATGTATCATATGTATCGTCGAAGTTGTGGTAAGATGTCTTAACAACATATTAGTGGCGGTCCAGGTCATACTCTTGATTTTGTGTTTGTGTATGTGGTATAAATTGTTGGCAGTTTTGGATGGATGTGGTGGTGTAAGGTTGTTGGATTTAGGTGGATTGACAGTGTTGTTGGGGTTTGTATTATTGTTGGGTTGGGTATTGGTGTTGGGGTTGGTATTGTTGTGGGGTTGGTTGTTGGGCATATGATGCAGCTCTTGTGCGTGGATCGATCAAATATGTCTCTTGAGACAAAAACAAATTTGTTGAAACCGACGTATATCATCTCATATATTAGAGAGTTGGTCTAACATCCTCCTACAATACTGGTTCATTTATGGTATGATCACATCAATGCCTCCATTGACGACACCCATCTCTAGCGAAGTCTCTAAATTTTGTAAATCTCAATTGGCCATTGAATCTGAGTTGATGTCATTGTCCTAAACACGTAGGGGGTCTGAGATAACTTGTTGCATGCCGAACAACAATTTCACGCAGTCACTATGGTTCATCTCCATAATAGTGAACCTGATGATTGTTGTTTTTGCAGTCCAAACTTCAGCATCCAAATGGTTAATATCATGGTTGAGACCCGTTAATTCTCTATTTTTGTGATTGGTATTATGTTTGGTAAAACTAACTTAGCAGAAACATGTTGAAATAAGATGTTCTATCAACTGGAGAAACATGTTGAACAAGATGTCCTATGCATGATCATTCAACATCACGCTTGTGTATAGCTGGACAGTTAGATGTTTTAGTTTATTTCACATACATAATATTCTTGGAATATTATGTTATCCTATGTGGCGCTCAGTTTAAGGATTAAGAGATTAAAGCTGAATTCAAGGAGTATTCTTAGTTTCTAATTATGGAGATGATTTAGGAAACTAATGATTGAAGTCCAATTCTTATGCAGAAGTTTCTGTAGACTTTTAGCAGCTGATTTGCTGTGTTTTTGAAGCCCAATCCACTCTAGAAGATTGCTTTAAATAGACTGTCACAAACCTAGTTTTAATGTGGACTTACTTGTGTTTTTTGTTAGGGTTTGTGTGTGTTAATTGTGAGTCTCTCTAATATCATCTTGATAAAAGAATATGACTATTTTTTGAGTTGTAAGTTCTGTCAGTCATTCTAAAGCTTTTAAGTAGTGAATGATTGTGTGTTTTTGAAGGTTGTCTTCTAATTCTTTTGAATTGTGTTCTTGTCATTGTTTGTGACTGAAAGGGATTTGAGAAAGGTCTCATACCTAGGTGAGTCTTAGGTAGAAGTTAAGCACGTGTGGTGATTAAGTGAGTAGATTGTAAACTAGTGAGAGTTTGTTATGGGTCTATAAATTGATACTACTTAGTTGATTTCGTCCTTGGCTTCGTAGCCCCCAGAGTAGATGTTGTTGTACATCGAACTGGGTTAACAATTCACTGTGTTCCTTTATTTTTGTTTCATTATTTATTGTTTGTAACTATTCATTGTGTTGTTGTTCAGAGATCAGTGTCTCGACATCTCTTAGGACATCTGAGATCTGAATATTAAAATTTCAATTGGTATCAGAGTAGGCATCCTACTCCGACTCTCTGAGATTTAGGGAAGATAATTTTTAGTATAATGGACAAGGAAGGAGGGTTTATGAATAGACCACCCATTCTTGATGGGACCAATTATGATTATTAGAAAGCTCGTATGGTGGTTTTATCAAGTCTTTGGACAACAAGGCTTGGTGTTGTACCCCAAAATTTTCCCTCTCACTTATCAAGAATTTGCTCACAAGATCTCCTTGGGCTCAAGACTGCACTAGGGTATGATCAGCTCAAGACACCTCCTTAGGCACTGATGACCAAAATTAGGGTTTGAGTTTGCACAAAGATTTTTTGAACTTCCAAAGCCCCATATGACTTTCATAGGTCATTATGGACCCTCAAGATTACTTATGTCAAGATTCAAGCCTTGGATCACACTTTTGACCAGTCAATTGAACAGTTGACCTAAAAATCAATTGTATTAGGAAAAAAGTCAACCATAGCCAATTTACAGTCAAACTTCATAATTTTTTATCCACATCAACATTTTAGACTCATATGTATCATTTGATCAAGTTTGGACCATAATTCCTCAAGAAATTTGATCAAATCTCCAAAAGGGCAAAATGGTCAAAATTAGGGTTTTGACTGGGAAAGGGCAATTTCTGATTTTTGACCTAGAAAATGGTAAATTGGTTTAAGGAATGATCTCAAGAGTCCAATTGCATCATTATGACCTAATGACATGATTCAAAACATTGCAAATCCTTTGGATTGACAGATGAATTTTGCAGTCAACTGATCAAAAGTCAACTGTATACTGAAAAGTCAAACTTTGACTTTTTGATCAAATTCAAGTGCCAAAGATCACAATTCATAAAAACATGTCAAAATATGAAACTTATTCATCAAGAAATCAAGATTCAATTTTGAAAAGTCAAAATTTCTAAACTTAGAAATTTTTCTAAGTGTTGAAAATTTCTTATTTTTTCATAACTTTGAGCCAAATTTTCACCATGATGCAAGATGATTCAAAGGAAACATCCAACATAAAAGTTGTAGATCTCCATGAAATCTATAAGTTTTCTTTACACAACCTCTCCTAAAAATGTTTGGATCTCAAGTTATAATTTTGTGCATACATGCTCATGAACTAAAAAAGACTTAGTAAAATTTTGCCCTAGTTAGGCAGATTTTTGATCTAACTCCATGGCAATTTTTCACATAGTTCCAAGGGGAATCTTCAAAATCAATTCAAATATGGGTTGTAGATAATATTTCAAGCTTTCCAAAATGTCTAAGAACTCCTTGAGATCATTCTTGAGAAAGGAGAATCAAAGGCAAGAAGTTAGGATTTTCAAACTTGAATTACAAGCCATTTTGTGAAGAACACTTGATCCAATCTTCAAGCATGATGTACAAATCTTGATTTTCAGGCTTCAAACTTGCTAATCACTCAATAATTTAATGTTTACACAACTGATGGAGCCATTGTCCAAGCATTTGAGTCATTATCCAAGTTGCATTTCCATTTTGGGAAGAAAGTCACCACTTCCATTTTGGAAAAGTGACTTTAATCACAATGTCAACTCTTCTTGAGCCCATACATTGTTGTTTCTGACTCAAAAACATTTAAAATCAAGAAGCAACATATCTACAGCCTGCTAACCACCCTACAAATCCTTGTACTTCATATTGAAACCATGTTTGTCAACTTTGCTTCAAAATCAAGTAACCAAGCCATAACATGTGATTTCAATTTCTGAGTTGTTTCAAGCCTCAAAACCTCTTGCCTATAAGTACATACACTATTTGAAAGCTAACACACAAGCTTGAGGACCCTAAAACTCTCCAAAACACCATTGCTGCACAAAACTGCCTAACTTGACAGTTTTGAGCCAAAACTCATCATCTTCATTTCCACTCGTGCGTTTTGAAAACCAATCATTCAAACACCTTCTATACATCATACCAAAGTAATCCAGGCCCCTGTTTCAAGACTGTAACTCCTCCATTACTATCCACCATTTTCAAACATCAAGCTTGCAGGTTGACTTGAGTAGAGAGATTCAGGAACTTTCAAGGAAAAGTAGGAGTTGGAATACACTCAAGGAGGTCCAGGAAAGCTAAACAGATCCCCATGCCATCTCAAAAGTTGCTCAAACTCCATTCATGACTCCAGTTGCAAGAGGTAAGTTTTCAAACTTCTATCTCTTCATACAAGCATCATTTGATCCTGATTTGTGAAGACAAAATATAGATATCTTTGCTCTAAAGCTGACCACGTTCATAGTTCCCATTTATATTGACTGTGTATAGAGAATTTTGGATTTGAAATTTTTGAGAAAATTAGGTTTCAATTTAGGGCCAGCAAAATTAGTTTTCATCTTTAACTTTTAGCTTACATACGTTATATGGTTGGATTCGTGAGGAAAAATAGCACAACTTTCATGTTTTCATTTTCCATTTTTATTGAGAAATGAATGAGATACAGGTGGTCCGGCTAGCTGAAGGTTGAAGATGAAGTACAGGCCATGGAAACGTTTTACCATATGTATTTATTCTTTCATTTAAGTTAACGGATGTACAACCACCCCAGTGGTAAGGCAGCGCGCGTTATTGATAGAGGTCGTGCGTTCAAACCTCAGCGCTACCTTTTACAAATGTTTTTACATGTTTATGAAGTGTTTCAAGTGTCAAGCCACAAAACGCACGAGCCAAAAATGAAATGGCTATGATTTTGCAGCAACTGTATGTTTTTGGCAGAATTTCAGTGTTTTTTGAGTTTGA